TTATATACAGGAGAATCAGACGGCATTATACCATAAAATAAGAAAATAATAATTATTACACAAGATCAAGTCAAAAGTGGGTATGAGTGTGTTATAAATTGTAGCGCCTGTGTGCCCTGTTAATGTATAACGTAACGATGCCACAAATTAGAGAGCAGTGAATTATCGATCAGACCCATGACGCATAAGACACATAGAAGCAACCTATAGTCCTTATTGGTCCTGCTTCCTGCCTAGCCTAGCCTAGTTAAGTCCAGAATGCTAATCTCAGCCTCTGCAATATAAATTGTAATATTTCAAACATATTCTGTTTATATACTAATCAAACAGACCACATCGTACCAATAAAATAGGAAACAACATTTGTACAAGAGTTAGCCAAATGTGGCTGTGAATGTGAGAGGCAGTGATTTAATAGACAGGGCATAATTCAAGAATGGTAAATCGTATAATAACAGTTCATAGATCAAAATAAAGCTCATAATAAGAGGGACATGAATATGAATAGTTTAGTTATTTAACAATTATACGATAAAAATATACGTTTAGTATTGGTCCACAAGTGGATCCCAAAAGTTACCATTCATTATGCTTATCGTGACATAACACAGTGTGAGAGACTGTGGCAAATAAATTGCGTATAAATTAAGGATGGTAAATCGTATAACCGTAGCCAATAGGTCAAATGAAAGCTAATGATATAAGGAATATGAATATACATATATAATCTAGTTACTTAATAATTATCCAGTAAGAATATATGTAATAATAGTCCAGAAATAATTCCCAGTAGTTACCGTTCATTTATTCTACGTTTGCATATAACATTTCTGATTCACCGAACTGTTGTTAATGTTTTACATATCAGAAGGGATTTTTGTGGATATTATAATAATCTTAATAGTTGAAATCATGAGTCAATTAAAGCTAGACCATCATGGGAAACCTAGAAACACTGGACGACTGTTTCCTCCTATTATTGGACTCCTCAGTGGTATGCATCCACGATTCCACATCACGAGATTTGAACCTAGGATCTATCGGTCTCCTACGCGAACTCTAAACATCTAGACCACTGAGCCATCCGGCATCCATCGGTGTTAATCTCTAACTTCAACCAAACCACGAACTTGTGTTACCGTTCACGATTGTCATCAGTGGGTTACTATCTCACAACAGACCCGGTTAAACTACACTAGTCATGGCTTCTTAGTAGAACTCTAGGAAATAACTTTTGAAGTCTGTTACTAGTGAGCATATATTGATTAATATTAGAAGGGTTTTTGTGGATATTATATTAATATCAATAGTTGAGATCCTTATTATCCCAGTCATTTTTGTCTCACTCGAACATTTAGGTTAATAAACCTCTTAGAGAAATTTTAGTGGGCGTCAGATTTCCAACAGAATAAGAATTTGTTAGACAGATATAGGCAACAAAGTATGTAAGACTGAATGGTGTTTAACTAAATGTAGTAAGAATATGATTGTATCTAAATTAAATTTGTATTTTAATGGGTTGGTATCTGACGAAATCTCTGCACGGATTCGAAAAGCTCGTTTGGCCTTTGCCAACTTACGTCATCTATGGCGGAGGCGAGATATCCGTCTATCAATTAAGGGACGAGTATACTGCGTGGCAGTTCGTTCCGTTCTACTATACGGCCGCGAAACATGGCCTTTAAGAGTAGAAGATATTCGTAAGTTACTAGTATTTGACCACAGGTGCCTTAGAAATATTGCGGGTATCTGCTGGGATCACCAGTTAAGTAATAATGAGGTTAGACGCAGGGTACTAGGGAATGATGGTAAATCAGTTGATGAGGTTATGAATCTTCATCGACTGAGATGGTTGGGCCACGTGCTGCGTATGCCTGAACACCGATTACCACGACGCGTAATGCTAACTGCTGTTGGGGATGGTCGGAACGAAGTTAGGGGCGATGAAACCAAAACGTGGCATCAGTGCATGTAGTCACTAACTTCTAGTCTGAGCCATGTTGGTAGATTCAGACTGCCTGGTTGGGGTCCGCGTGACTTTCGTAACCAATGGTTGGAGACTCTTGGTGACACGGCTCAGAATCGATCACAATGGCGTCGGTGTATACACTCTCTGTCTTCCTTAAATTAAGAGATTAAAATCACTTCAAATCTTTCTTCCTAGGAACTAATTCTTTCTTCCTGTACTATCTCCTTATACACAATCTTTCTTCTATACATTACCACCACTGAATTAACTACTTTTATGAATCCGATGTTGATCTTGTTGTGCTAATGAGGTATGGCAACTTCGACCGATGCATATACGTGCCTGGTCATACGTTGCAGCTGACTGACTGACTGATTTTAATCAGAAAGGAGTTTTGTGGAGATTGTAGTAAATATTAATAGTTAAGTCAATTGAAACTAGACCACCATGGAAAACCTGGAAACATTGAACTGAGGATTCCTTTACTAGGATGAAACGGCTATCCAATGCTTCCAAATTTTCTAATGGTAATCTAGCTTTCATTGACAGATGAAATCAACTATGAAATTTGTATTTACTTATTGTAAAATAGATGATTTAATTAGGGATTAATAAAACGATTATATATAAAGATAAACGAAGTTCTATGTTGGTATCATTACCAAGGATTGATTTGATAATTTCGAATAAATTGAGCATTGGCTATAATGTTATAAATTAATTAATATATTAGATATCTCAATAAGTAGACGTTTCGTCGCTCAATGTAAGTCACTTCTTCAGAGTAAATAAATAATCAAATCAAAATTAATTCAAGTTTAAATAGTACAAAGGAACAAAACAAGAATATTGTGATCAATCTAAACAACAGGTCGGAATATAAATCAATGTCATGTTATTTCGGTCGAAGTGATTCATAAGCGACATGTATGTAAATTTGTGTGTGTGTGTATGTGTATGTAAGTGTGCACTGTTCAAGATGAAAAATGTGTGACCTTTATGGTGAGAAAGGATAGATAATAGTGTGAATTGTGAATAATATCAGACCAGGTGGCTAGGATAGATAGTGCAAGTAAGATGTATGGTAAGGCCTTCTTTTCTGTTGAAAGAAGTAGAAGTAAGCATTATAAGGAACGCTTCAGCTAGCCTCCTTTCCTTCTAGTTGAGTTCTATGTTATATTTTCTTGTACCTAATTGAAATTATAATACCTAGAAACTAAAAAGAATGTTGATTTTCTAGTAGTAAGTGGCTACCACCACCTAGACGTGGTGGTCGGGCTTGCCTATCGTAATTAATCGATCGAGCTATACTGGCTGAAACAATCGTTCCTCAAGGTCCTACCATACCAGACATGTCGGTTGAAGAGCGGTAATACTAAAAGCAGCAAACTCAAGGTCCGAGGGCGAAGTCGTACTGCTCACTATACAGAGGTGTGACAGCAGTAGGGTGTTTCCTTCAAACAACCAGCATAACAGCGATGCTACCCTCGCACAAGGAGAGGTGGGGTTAGAAAAGGTCGACCCTAAAAATACACACCTCGCCTTATTCCACGGATATCCGTTTCCGGTGGTAAGGTCCCAACACGTACGGAGCTAACACGAAAGCTACTCACAAAAAGGTCGTATGTGACCGACCTCAAGCAGTTGTCCCTTGGGCACTGCAATCACGCTTTCAGGTCACTAAGACCACCTCTAAACCAATTTCCTTTTCAGATACCTCTAGAAGAACCCTTCCACGGTGTGGGAAACCGGGAAGTGATAACCGCCCTCATACCTCTAACAGCACTCAGGACCACTGACTGACAATATTAGGAGATATACAAAAATATCGTATCATAAAGTGAAGATCACTCTGTCTATCATGTGACGTTTGAAGTTATTGCAAGACAGTTAACAGAATATAACTCTGCATCAGATAAGTATAAAGATCGAACAGAATGATCAACAAAAGCATCACATGAATTATTTACTACGGTGTATGTCAGCTTGACTTCTAGATGTAACTCTAATAAAACAAATTATTCAGCGCCTATGACTTGATCATCAGGTGTTCTTACTAAACCGTAGTTTATTGGATACACTAAACCTGGAATCCGAATTATAAGACTTCACATTTAAGTAAACCTGACTTTAAATTTATCAACTTTCATGAATGCTCAACGAACAAACGAATGTATATATTATGTAATCATCTACAAATTCATGTGCTGAGTATATGTAAGATACAAGTACTATCTAGTTCATCAAACTTAAATGGATAGTTCTGTTAGAAGTGTAACGATGATTTTCACTTTTTGGTTACTTACACCATGAAAAAAAACACTTCATACTAATGAATTTGAAAATTAAATTGAGTTAGTAGTGAGCCTGTTAACCTAGAAGTGTCATCATCGAAAGGATAACTACTTGAGGTCAGTTACTCATAACCAAGCAAGATCTTCAAATACAATACGGAGAACACTAACACGATTATACTTCATGGAGAAACTCTGGAAGATATGGAATCCTTTACGTACCTGGAAAGTATCATCGATGAACAAGGAGGATCTGATGCAGACGTAAAGGCGAGAATTGACAAAGTATGGACCGCATTCCTTCAATTGAAGAACATATGGAACTCAAAACAACTTTCAACTAATAGCAAAGAATCTTCAACACGAACGTAAAAAGAGAGTTCTATTGTACGGAGCTGAAACTTGAAGAACTACTACAACCATCATCAAGAAGGTACAAGTATTTATAAATACTTGTCTATACAAGATACTCAACATCCATTGGCCGGATACCATCAGCAACAGCCTTTATGTGGGAGAGAACAAACCAGCTTCAAACTGAACAGGAAATTAGGAAAAGATGATGATAGTGGATAGGACATACATTACGTAAATCATCAAACTGCATCACGAGACAAGTGCTAAATTGGAATCCTCAAAGGAAGCGGAAAAGAGGAAGACCAAAAAATAGAAATAGAAGTAGATATATGAAAAGGATGAATAACAACTGGAAAGAATTGACCAGGATAAGGTTGGATGGAGGATGCTGATGGGCGGTCTATTCTCCTCCATGCGGAGTAACAGGCGTAAGTTTAAATACACAGATAAAAACTCAACTGAAATATATTTACCTTTATTTATTAAAAGAATATAAATCAATTCATTTACTATACAAGTGAGGTGTTGTTGTTGTTGTGTGTGTGTGTTGTTGTTGTTGTTGTTGTTGTTTCTTCTTTCCTCTTCTTTTTTCTTTTGATTATCGTGAACGTTTAATTAATTTCTTTAAATGATCTCTTAATGCAATTTGTTTTTGTTGAAAACTACGTTTTGCTTTACGTCGAATTTTATGTTTAACCATTTGAAATGTTTTATTTTTTAATTTTTCACGATTTGTTGTACTGGCATAAGCGTTTAATCGATTCACCTAAAATAAGAGAAAAACAATAAAATAAAAAAATAAACGATACTATCAGAAGCCCCCAAATGCCCTGATACGGTTGAAAGTGAGGAGAGTCCGCTCTCCCACTCCGAAATGCATTCATATGATCACGCGTATACAACCACTGACAGGGAAGTTCTACTCACTACCTTCTCGTGGCACAGGTGTTGTTTACAAAATTGAGAGGACGAAAAGCGAATGTCCGACGTTTAAACCGAGTTGGTGGACACGGACAGTGCACCTAGGGGAGTTGGAAAACCCTGATTACAAACCAATGTTACACATGGGCTCCAGTATCTTGAATGAAAAAATGGCGTATGAACCGATCGTTGGTCACCGGTTACCGTGGGACTGTATCTCCTCACAATGCTTCAGTGCCTTGTGAATCAGATCTTTAGGTCGAAGGCTCCGGGTGTGGTTCCTTAAGAAAACCACCTACTTCTGTTTGAGCACCCGGATAGTATCGCAGCCCTCGTACAAATCAAATGAGATTTGTGTGGCGCATATGTATTTGGTGCCTCCTTGTACGATTTGAAATAAATAATAAATAAACTATCAGAACAGAAGTTTTTGGAGATTGTAGTATTGTAAAAGTTGAATTCATGAATCGATCTAAGCAAGATCATCATTGAAAACCTAGAAGTAATGGATGACCGTTTCGTCCCATTATTGGACTCCTCAGAAATGAGCATTCATGATCCTATACGCTGAACTTGAACCCAAGACTTTCGGTTTCGCACGTGAATGTTTAACCTCTACACCACTGAGTTGGCAACGGATCCAACACGTGAACATGTCATTCAACTCAGACGACAAGTACTTTGCATTTATTTAATAATAAAATATCTTGAATGATCTAGAAACTGTTAAGAGTGAATACATAAGTTTTTCTGGACTCAAGTTCAAGAAACCGATGTTTGAAGATACTTTTTATCAAGAACAGACACTAAAAAAAAATAATCATAACATTAAAAACTGAACAGCTGTTGCTGTCTAGTTTTCCACGCTTAATTAGAATGCTTCAAAGACCACACATATCTTCAAACACGGGATTTGTGTTTTTTTTTTGTACGGAAAACGAGTTAGAATGTACCGATTCATATGATTAGTTATTTATAATATAACGTGACAATTACATAATCTTATTAACAGATATTTGTTTTGATCACAGAAGTTTATTTTACACGTAACCCAAAATACACTTCAGGGAAATTCTATTCATGATCACAATCCTCATTGATGATGAGCTCTGATGTAAATATTATCTGAGGTCTAAATGAAAGGATATGCAGTTGATTATCCACATGAAAAGCGCAGTTACGATAATCCATCAGTTTCGCTATTAGCTATAGCCTAAGATCATAATATATTAGTAAACAGACGTTATTGAGCTGTACTGTTTGAGTTGTCACATAAAAATCTGGATGGTGTCCGATCCTCCTGAAAACTGATGTAAAATTACCCTGACCCACAAGGGTATATTATATAACTGGTACGGCCGAAAATGGGGAGAATCAGCCCACCCTTTCGAAATGCTCTCACCTATCTGGGACTCGTCAGTTGGATGTAGCTGCATCTCAGAGTTGATGTTCACTCTGAGACCCGAACCCAGTACCGTTCACTTCAAACGCCATCGTGTTATCCACTTAGCTACTGAGTCATGATAACCACTTGCTTGTATCTTTCCATTGTTATTTAGGACTGAAACTGATCAGTCTCTTATTGGTGTATGTTAATTCATTAGTCAAATCAATCAACTCTTGAGACGAAAAAAGACATTAAAAAGACTATGTCATAAAATTAGACTATGCTTTGAGGATAATATACATGAAGAAATAGATTAATTGAAAAATAAACTATGAAATAAAGAATATCTAGACAGAAAAATAGGATACTGTCAGTATGAAGATTTCTGCAGTTGATTCCTGGGCTCCAAGTTAAATACTACCGTTTCAACCAAACAAGTACTTAAACATGAGTCAAGGAGAAGACACTAATGAAAGGCTCCTTTATGTGAATTTGCTAATTAAACTTGTCCTGTGCATCTTAATACATAGGGCCTTATCATAAGTTCGTCAGTAAGGTCGGGGAAAATAATCATTAAATCTATCAATAGTGCCGTCCTTTCTCAACTGGTGGATAGTGAACATCAGATTTCAACCGAAGATGCCTTCTCAGTTCTACATCAAGTACCGAAAATCTACCTGAAGAAACAAGATTACACGTCTTCACTAAATAGATAAGCTGTTTGGGATCAACTTCAGGAAACTGACAAGAGATATATTCAGTCATCTTATACATAAGCCATGTATTGTAAATATATAGCCACTAATTTCACGCCATCCTCCATTTTCAATTACATATTTATCTTCCCAAATTCACATAAATTTCTTATTATTATTACCTTGGGAAGACTACATTCACACGACTTTATCATTATTATTAACTCAATTAACCTATGACATTTAAATGATTTATTTTATTGTATTAACTGCAAACTACCAGATTACAACCAATCCGTCTCATGATCATTTACTTAAATGACTTAAAACTTACGAGTAGCATATCTTGGAAGGTGCCCCCAAATGCCCCGGTACGGCCGAGAGTGGGGGGAGTCCGCTCTCCCTCTCCAAATGCTCTCATATGGCCACGAGTATATAGCCTCTGCCAGGGAAGTCCTACTCACTACCTTCTCGTGGCACAGGTGTTGTTTACGAAAATGAGAGGACGAAAAGTGAATGTCCGGCGCTTTAACCGGATCCCAACTCTATGGTGCACATGGGCTCCAGTATCCTAAGGGAACAAATGGCGTATGAACCAATCGTTGGTCACCGGCTACCATGGGACTGTATCTCCTCCTCCACTGCCTTGTGGATCAGATCTTTAGGTCAAAGGCTCCGGGTGTGACCCTCTAAGAAAACCACCTGCTTTGGTCTGGGCACCCGGGTAGTATCACAGCCCTCACACATGTCAAATGAGATTTGTGTGGAGCATATGTATTTGGTGCCTCCTTGTACTAATATCTATGTGTTAAAATAAAATAGAAATAAAATACTTGGAAGGTGTTGATTGGTGCTAATCAACAGGAAACCCTAGACCTAGATTTCTTACTATTTGGCACTGATCAGCAAAGTGTACCTGTAATCTTAAGAGAACTACTGATGCTCCCTACTGGATTCGATCACGTGTCAACCACGATCTCGAACTACTTAGACTATTGGTTGTCTAATCCTAATCATAACATACATACACTTCTTTTTTTTGATTGATTACTTCAAATTGTTACTGTAAAATAATAAGAGAAAATAAAAAGCATATTGATTACCTTAAAACCATATTTTTCACGTCCAATTCGACCTTCTTCAATTGATTCCATTCGATCAGCTTTTGTTTGATGTGGACGTTTTACTAGACGTGTAATTGCACTCATACTAACAAGATTTCCTAAACTACCATCTTTATTTTGAATACCAACACCAGTATTTTCACCATCTTCATCATCAGTATCCACAATAAAATATGAATCGGAATTATCTTTATTTCGTAAAGAACTATAGGATGCAAAACGTTTCTAAATGAAGATTTGAAATAATAATAATAATAATAATAATAATAATAATAATAATAATAATAATAATAATAATAATAGTCGAAGTTATGGCAATAATGAAGTTGAAAAAAAGAAAGACTTTCTATAAAACAACTCTGGGCGAGACTATCATTTATGAACGAACCAATTAGGTATAAGATAACAGGTCTTGGATTTAGGCGCGAAATTCACTCATCCATTTGGATGAATAGAGTTTTGGCACTTTAACTAATATCAGTTCGTGATGAAAACCCGAAATCTAATCTCTAAGCTTAATCAGCAATTGTAAATCATGATTTGAATTTCTTATATTCGTTTATAATCCTTATTTGGTTCTAGTTATTAGGTAAACACCCTCAAAGTCAGTTTAGCGTCACTCATAGGTGGTTCATAAATTATAGTCTCATCCAACTGTGTAATATGATTCAGGAAAATCTCATATATTACTGAATATTTTGCTAATGTTTTAACGTAAAATTGAATTTTTTGCGTTTACCCAAATTGTTATGTTTGAAGAGATTATGAGTTTACTTAAATCTGAGAATGAAACAAAGACTAAAGACGCTAACTATTCCGATGCATCCCAGTCCAAGTCAAGAAAAGGGAAAACGTATTCCATAAGCAGCCAGAGTCATTAGCGACAACAAGGCACATCTCAAGCATACATATACAGCATAAAAATGTCCTTGGGAAACGTTATAAAATAGCATATTAAAAGAAATAACGAACTAATGATAATTAAATTCCTCCCTAGTGAGAAATACGATATGAAGATGAAAAATAAGATATTTACCAAGTGAGTTCTGGAGATCCAGTGTCCCAAACATAAATATTATGCCTTACATGTGTTGATGTGCATAAAAACACTTTACCTTACTGACTCATTAATCTTTTTAATATACATATTACACTATTTGCATTTAGACATAATTATATGAGATTATAATTGCTCATTAAAAACAACATTATTTAGTCGTTCCAATACACTGACTGAGCACCAATTATCTTTTAAATCAACCGGAGTTTAGAATTAGTGAAATCAAAGCTAGATGTGTGTTAGCTGATATGATTGAACTGTAACCAAACATATTCAGAGATAGGCAATATTGCGCAACCTCACAGCTAACACGGTTGAACTCTACTAGTCACGGTTTAAGAGAAGACAAAGAGTGTATACACCTACACCATTGTGATCGATTCTGAGTCATGTCACCAAGAGTCTCCAATCATTGGTTACGATAGTTATGTAGACTCCAACCAAGTAGTCTGCATCTACCAATATGGCTCACACTAGGAATTAGTAACTTCAAGGACTGATGCCATGTTTTGGTTTGGCCACCCCTAACTTTCTTCCAATTATCCCCAATACTAGTCAGCATTGCGCGTCATGGTAATCGGTGTTCAAGCATACGTAATACGTGGCTCAAGTATCTCAGTCGATGAAGATTTACAATCTCATCAACTGATTTACCATCATTCCCTAATACCTTGCACCTAACCTCACCATTACTTACCTGATGATCCCAGCTGATGTGAGCAATATTTTTAAGACATCTGGCATCAAATACTAGTAACTTGCGAGTATCTTCAACCATTCATGGTCACGCTTCGCAGCCAAAACACTGCATTTTATCAGTATATTCACCAAACAGGACTATGTCATCTGATTAAAGAAGAATAGATCTGAATTGTCTACACATAAAAAAAACATTCAGCGTTGGTGTTTGTCAAATATTTGAACTCAATACGAGAAATATTGACACACAAAAATATGCTATTTAATATAACCAGTGTATTAAGAAAAATCAGATTATAAATCTGAATATTCGTGAACATGGATATAATGGCAAATGAACTTTTAACTGATAATACCTGTTTTGTTTGTTGATATTTACGCATTGCTTCAAATTCCTCTTGAGTAAATATACGTGATGATGCTATCTCTAAAGCTTTTTCTTTTAAAACACTTGGATCTATTTTAGTTTTCTTTGAAGGGATATTTGCATTACATTCATCCATTTCAATGTCGACATTGTCTTGTTCATCATCATTATCTTCTTCTGAGGAGGAGTTGGGTAAATTTACCCATTCACCATCTGATTCATCTGCTTGACTGTCCTCGGACTCTTGGACCTCAGAACACGATTCCCATGAATCATTTTCTTTGTCATTGATAAAAAATGAAAGTAAAATTACTTCAAATATTCTTTGTTATAATTTCACATTACTTATAAGTAGCTTAAAATTATTTTATAAAATACTTATTACAAGGGTTTACACAATGATCTTGTTTGTATTAAGTGAATTAAGACTAATATATATAACAGACCACACTCTTATGTAAAGACTAAACGATAGTTTCCTGTATTATTAGTGACGAAGCATTGTTTATTACTAGAGTTACCAAGAATATTAAGGAATAATTAGCGATTTTTCAATAGTGAGTTACTGAAACATGCAAGGGCCGCATTCTTACAAGTGAACATATGAAACTCAAAACAACTCTCAATCAATATCAAAGTCACAAACTTCAGTGCGAATATCAAGACAGTTCCACTGTGTTCGGCTTAAACTTCGACAACTACCACAACCATCATCAAAATAGAACAACTATTTGTAAACAATTGTCTACGCATAATACTCAATGGCCCCCAAATGCCCTGGTACAGCCGAGAGTGGGGGGAGTCCGCTCTCCCTCTCCAAATGCTCTCATATGGCCACGCGTATACAGCCCCTGCCAGGGAAGTCCTACTCACTACATTCTCGTGGCACAGGTGTTGTTTACGAAAATGAGAGGACGAAAAGTGAATGTCCGGCGCTTTAACCGGATCCCAACTCTATGGTGCACATGGGCTCCAGTATCTTAAGGGAACAAATGGCGTATGAACCAATCGTTGGTCACCGGCTACCATGGGAATGTATCTCCTCACGATGCCCCACTGCCTTGTGGGTCAGACGTTCAGGTCGAAGGCTCGGGCTGTGGTCCCCTAAGAAAACCACCTTCTTCGGTTTGGGCACCCGGGCAGTATCACAGCCCTCACACATATCCAATGAGATCTGTGTGGCGCATATGTATTTGGTGCCTTCTTGTACCGATATTTATGTGTTAAAATAAATAATAAATAAAATACTCAATGTTCGTTGACCGGTTACCATCAGTAACAACAGCCTATTGTGGGAGAGAACAAACCAGATTCCAAATGAAGAGCAGAATAGGAAAAGATGCTGCGGGTGGATAGGACGTACGTTTCTGAAATGGCCAAATTGCATCACGAGGCAAGCACTCACTTTGAATTTTGAAGGTGTTATGTCCCGACAAGAATAATGAATGGTAACCTTTGGGATCCATTTCTGGACCAATACTATACGTATATTTTTACAGTATAATTGTCAAATAACCAAACTGTTCATATTCATGTCCCTCTTATTATGACCTCAATTTCGATCTATGAACTATTATTATACGATTTACCATTCTTGAATTATACCCAGTCTATCAATTACTGTCTCCCCTATCCACACCCACATTTGGCGAAATCTTGTACAAATGTTGTTTCCTATTTTGTGGTACGATGCGGTCTGTCTGCTTGGTATATAAACCTAGTATGTTTGAAATAAATGATTCATATCTCGGAGGCTGAGATTGGTATTCTGAACTTAACAGCCAGGACTGGGCGGCAAGCAGGACCAATAAGGACTCTAGATTGCCCGCACGTATTTTACGCGTCATTGATCCGATCGATATGTCACTGCTCTCTAATTGGCGGTATCACTACGTATACATTAACAGGGCACATAGGCCACAATTTATAACAGAAGGGAAAAGGAAATGAAAAAGACCAAGTAACACATTGCATCAGGAATTGAAAGCAGATATTAAAGCAATGGATAGCAACTGGAAACAAGTGGAAAGGATTGTCCCGGATAGAGTTGGATGGAGAATGTTGGTGGAAGGCCTAGGCTCCTCGACGAGGGGTAACAGGAGTAAGTACGTATGTATGTATGTATCATATATATAAAAAAAAATCAAGTTAAACATTTGTTTGTTCAAAATTCTTACCTTCATTATTTAAGCATTTCTCTGAACCATCCAAACTTTTGTTAGGTTTCTCAGAGGATTCTTTCTTTTTAACATTCAACTTCTCTGAAGCTAAAACAACTATTTCAGCTCCAGGAATAGTTGAAGATGTAGTACACTGGCCATAATTAATTGCAACATCTTGAGGTATATCATATTTTAATACGTCCAATTGTGATTCTGTTAGACGTCCGCATTCTTTACGTGGTAATAATTCAGGATTTATCTAATGTAAACAATTAGATATAAAACCACACACAAAAATTAAAATATTAAATATAATTAGTAAATCACTTGATATAAAACACGATGAATGCTTGAGATTAGATGGTAGTTGGAGGTAGTCGACATGAAACCCTGGATCCGGGTTTCGTGCTACTTGGCACTCGTCAGCAAGGTGTACCTGTAATCTTGAAGGAACTGGTGCTCCCTGACGGATCTGATCCCATGTCAACCAGCTTCACAGTCAGAGACGTTACAACTGAGCTATCCGGGCCGCGACCGGTACTTTATTTATTCATGATTTACTTGAATACATAAATATTGGTACAAAGGGGCATCGAATACATATGCCCCACACAAGTCACTTGATTTGTGTATGTGGGCTATCATAATGTCGGAGTGGCCAGACCGAAGCAGGAGGTTTTCTTAGGGGGTTACACCCCGAGCCCTCGACCTAAAGGTCTGCTCCACAAGGCAGCAGAGCAACGTCAGGAGATACACTCCCATGGTAGCCGGTGACCAATAATTGGTTCATACGCCATTTGTTCTCTCAGGGTACTGAAGCCCATGTGTAACATTAGTTTGGAATCAGGGTTTTCCAACTCCCCTACATGGACCCTTCGTATCCTCCAACCAAGTTAAAGCGTCGGACACTCGCTTTTCGTCCTCTCGATTTTGTAAACAACACCTGTACCACGAGAAGGCAGTGAGTAGGACTTCCCTGGCAGTGGTTGTATATGTGTGGCCATATGAGAGCGTTTCGAGAGCGATGGTGTCAAATATAAACAAAAACTATCTTCCTGTCATAAATCAGCTTTAGATAAAACAATTTTTATACTAATAGTTTTTTTTTACTTCATCGACTTGATACATTTGAATTTCAATTAATGGCTGTTGATAATCTTCCCGTTGAACTCGAATCTATCCGCTAAAAACGACCAATCATCATCATGTGAGGTGTTGATGATTTTTGCAATTAATAGGAGACCAAGTATCTACACTAAGATAGGTACATGATTAAAACTATTAGCACCAATTTAATGGAGTGCAAGGAGACAAAAATCCTGATTTTTAATGATACATTGCAAGCCACAAGTAAGGATGCTTAGTTTTATGTAAGACGTCTCATTAGTGACTTAGGAAAAAGGTACAGTACATATGCATAAAAAGTAGATAGTTGACTTTAAATCATAAAAAAAGAAAAACCACCAGAAACATTAAACAATCGATGCAAGAGGGAGGAAAAAATGCGAATGTAGTTTGGGAAATTATGGAGAAAATTTTGGCCGAGAGTAGTAATAATTTAAATTTTGAAACTAAAAGCCGACTGGAAATAGTTACCAAGTTATACAACAGTCAGTCACCAATGATGTAACCAGTATATTGCAGTGAAGTGGTGGTATATAAGTGGTTTTACAGCCCTATGCTTTTAAACAATATGTGAGAACTTCAAGCCCAGTTTCATACATTTTGGGTCTGACTATCCGGGTAACATATGCCTGTAATTCGTGAGTTACACCATTTTTTATAATGTTTTGAACTTTCCCCTTGTACACGATCAACACATTAATGCAGCCATCAGTTCATGAAACCAATATACCCCATTAAACTTATTTCCAGGGACATATTGATGCACTTAACTTTCAACCACGCTCTAAGTGCGAAGGACATTGATGATACTCTTGCACCCGAACCGAAGTAGGTGAATCAGAATTGGAAACAAAGAGTTGATGATTGTAATTCAAAAGCCTTATTTATCGAGCCACCGCTAGGACTAAAACGCCACCAAGGACTGGTCAATTTAATACTTATTATTAAAATCAAAGAACCTCGAACTATAACAACAAAACAACAACGATAACATAGTGACTAGAGCACTTAACTTTCATCCACCAATTAACAGTTTCGGATGTTGCTCCATCTTTAGCTTTACTAGCCCTCAAATACAAAAAAGCGTGACTTAAGGCCGAGTACACATGTTTGTACTCCGTTATCCAACTTTCAATCCTTTTCCATCTATCATATACATAAAATACTAATTCACAATTTCACACAAACTCACTTGCCGATAAAGGCGTATAATTGATCGTGCTGCAGCAACTACATTCTTATTTCGATATGATCGATACTGAATTAAATCAGACAATAAATCTTTCGTGACTGCATACGGACAACGTAAACAAATCTCACGTACTGAGTTTAATCCAACAGCTATTGCTTCGGATGATGCACGTTCTGTAATAAAATTATCAGCGATTACTCGTATTAAGGGTTCCATTACCTAAAGCAGAAAATATATTTATTGTTGGGAAGAGATAAGGAGAAAAAATACGAAACATAAGTAATCATTCCTTAGTAAATTAGTTTATGTATCTATCACATACTATACATTATATTGTACTCGTTAAGATTTGCGTTTGCTTAATCCGCTGAAGGCCCCAAAACAGTGCATTTTCCCGTGTTCAATAATACTTCCTACCCATCGTTTCATCATCCTTTTTAATATGCTAATTTTTAGGCCACCACAGTCTGTTTTGATGAGCAATGTAGACGGGCGTAGGAGCAGGATGAAAAAAAAGCTAAGGGTAGTCAGAGCAAGAAGTAACAGAAACTAGTGAAAACACAGGTCGATGGTGTGAGTCATGTCAGTAAATGAATCCTACTTGGTTGAGGTGTGTGCAATAATCGTGATCACTGTTGGCAGACCTAAGATTAAAAAGTTCAAAATCGGACTCAGTAGTATACACGTACTCACTTTCTGTATTCTCCCCCAAACCTTGGGTTTATAAATGATGCTACACTTTATATTTCATAAATTTATTCCTCCAACTGCAGATTAATAAATTCTAGTGTTTTCTACTGCCAATGATATTGAGACTACTTCAACTACTGCTCTGATGTTTGTCTTGAACATTTCATCTGGTTGTGATGATAAAGTGGCAACGTGAATGGATGTCGTATCATGCATTACACAGTATATAACTGACCGGAAATACTTTTAAGAATAGGATAGATGGATCAAATAAGACAAAAACATATGGAACTCAAAACAACTGTCAACCAATATCAAAGTCACAACCTTCAGTGTGAATGTCAAGACAGTTCTACTGTACTCAGCTGAAACCTCGAGAATTACCACAACATAAATATACATGCGCCACACAGAACAATGAGAATTTGAAGGTAAGAAAAAAATAATGATAATAATTGGGGAGACTGAGAGGTACAACCAGAAGAAATCTTTCAACTAAGGAATAAGCAACCACTTTTTATGGAGAAAGTAAAAGAAGACTACAGCAGGATCGCCACTGGCTTCTATTCTGAGCCATGTCTGATGACGTCTCTAGCCACTGTGTTACACCATCTCTAGGACCCCAACCAGGGAGTCGTGAAGGACCAACAGAAGCTAGTCCTTTGCAGCTTTCTTTCATACCACGACACCATGTCATACACTGACCACCTCTCCGCTTTTTCCAACCAGTCCCAGAGTCGGCAAATAATGCACGACGTGAAATTCTCTGGAACGACATTCGTAGAACATGTCCAAGCCACCGAAGTCGGTATTTCAAATAGTTCGCTTGGTGTGCAAAGCGAAGACGATCGCGGCAAAAAAAACAAAAGTCTCATTGTAGGCTCCATCTCACAATACAGTAGAATTTCAGCTCGTCAAGCTATTGATGGTGCTCTATCTTCTTGCCATGACCTTATTCAATGCCCTCGTTTATTTCCTATACGAAATGGTGAATCGTTTCCTTCTGATTTGCCTCAATATGTTTCCGTTATATGCAAAAATATACTGGTGTGTATAGTTCATATGTATGTTGCACATTTCAATCATCTAGATCAACTTGAGTTAATACCTCATATGAATACCCTAGCCAGACATTTCTTCGCATTTAGCAAAAGATTTTCACTTGTTGATGATAAGCAGTTGGATGCCTTGGCGTGTTTCAGTCATACAGCATTTAGTTCAAATAATTGAGTAGCTGTCGTTATGGGCATCATAAAAGTGCACTCACTGCCTTCTCGTGGCGGGGGTGTTGTTTACAAAAGTGTGAGGACGAAAAGCGAATGTCTGGCGCTTTAACCGGACCCCAAACCAATGGTGCACATGGGCTCCAGTATCCTGCCTGAGGGAACAAATGGCGTATGAACCAATCGTTGGTCACCGGCTACCATGGGACTGCATCTCCTTACGATGCTCCACTGCCTTGTGGGTCAGACGTTCAGGTCAAAGGCTCGGGGTGTGGCCCCCTAAGAAAACCACCTGCTTCGGTTTGGGCACCCGGGCAGTATCACAGCCCTCACACAAATCAATTGAGATTTGTGTGGCGCATATGTATTTGGTGTCTCCCTGTACCTATACTTATGTGTTAAAATAAATAAATAAATAATTTCAAGATGGTGACACCAATTGGATTGTCGTTTCTGTGCTATCATTATCATTGTTATTATTATTATTTACTACGTCAATTACCACAACCATCATAAAAAAAACAACTATTTGTAAAAAATTGTCTATGCATAATACTCAATGTTCGTTGACCGGTTACCATCAGTAACAACAGCCTATTGTGGGAGAGAACAAACCAGATTCCAAATGAAGAGCAGAATATGAAAAGATGCTGAGGTTGGATAGAACGTACGTTTCTGAAATGATCAAACTGCATCACGAGACAAGCACTCACTTTGAATCGTGAAGGGGAAGGGAAATGAGAAAGACCAGGGAACACACTGCATCAGGAATTGGAAGCAGATATTAAAGGAATGAATAGCAACTGGAAACAAGTGGATAAGATAGTCCAGGACAGTTGGTTGGAGAATGCTAGTGAACGACCTATGCTCCTCCATGAGGGGTAATAGGCATATGCATATACAGACACTGACAAAATATTGCTCTTCTAAATGTGGTGATTTTATTTTATTATTTATTTGAGCACATAAATATTGGTATAAATTTTATGGAGTTACCACTACTAACAACTGAGATAGTAACTATATTTTCAAAATACAATTGGTCTTTAGTGAATGAAAAAAATCATTCGAATATTTAATCTGGAAATTCATACCTGATGCTTTTCACCGACCCTATCCATACACCAGATCAAGCCCGAAATGTTTAGGTTTCACAGAGATGATCAATACTAATTACACTAACCAATTAAAATTCAGAAAAACAATTTTCTAACTTCAATCAACTAATAATATGCTTTGAGATTGTTATTATTCAATGCAATTGGTGAGAATTGTATCACTCCTAAGATAGTTGAACACAATCATCATTCACGACTTTTTAATTCTAACAGCTTTAAAGATATTTCGCTAACAACACGATCATCATACCAATAGACGAAATTAATGGCTTGTACAGTAAGTTAGTTTAAAAAGCCACATCATATTTAAATAGAGGCACATGTATACCTCCGATTCTATTTTACTGATAACTGACTGATTGACTGGCTGACATATTATAGATAATAAAACTCAATCAAGAACTTACATCAGGTGGAACTTGATCATGGCTAGCCTGTGCTGAGAACAGTAATAAATGAGTCACATCTAAACAAACCAAAGAAGAAATAGGTGAAAAATCAATTGACAGTACTGACAATAAATTCTATCAAAGGTTAACAAGGAATTCGACTGGAAATATATGGATCTAACTAGTATAAATCAAATGGATTTTTAGCATGAAACTGATTTTTCACAAATCATAGTTACTGTAAATTAATAACTAAGTAGAAGTTTATAAATGTATCAATGATACAATTAGGCAGTTGTAATAAGATTCAAACCTGAATTCCAATGAATAAGTCTAAATGTTAACACAGAAAATGCGAAAAAAATAAAAGTTAAATCTAACCGAACAAATCTGTACGTCGTTTTTTATACAAATATACCAGATAATTGTTCTGCTTTAACAGCAAAGGTTTAAATAATAAGCATTCTTGTTATAACAGTTACCATGAGAATATTAGATTGATGCGCAAAATGCCTTTTGAACAATATGAACACCAAACCTAAAGAACTAAATACAGCTTAGAGTGAATCAAAAATGAGTGTTTAAATATTAGAGCTACGTTTGTTTCTATCTACTAGCTAATGGTACTATTCAGCTCCTCATATCTAAGTAGGGTCAGATTCGTACCCACGGATTTCCACGAGTATGAAAGTCTGATATAACCACTAAACCAGTTAGAACGGATAAATTTTTAACATAATTTTACATGTCCCAGATATATTGGAAATAATTCAAAAACGTAAATTAATCACTATTTAATCATTTGTGTCCTCCTGGGGTAGCTAACCTTAATGACACTCAGTAAATAAGTATAGGTTACTCTACTTAACTTTGAAGCCAAAAGCTTTGCATGTGAAATCTGAGAATGCTACCTGACTACTCTAGAACAAATAGCTACAGTTGGATTTGAACTAGCTTCTCGTAGAGTCCTTTAGTCAACAATCAAATGTTTCATAAGTAAAAATGTTTTACTTAAAAATCATCTCTTGATTGTACTTACTAAATAAACGTGCCCCCAAATGCCCTGGTACGGCCGAGAGTGGGGAGAGTCAGCTCTCCTTCTCCAAATGCTCTCACATGGCCACGCGTATACAACAACTGACAGGGAAGTCCTACTCAGTCTTTTCGTGGCACAAGTGTTCTTGACGAAAGTGAGAGGAGGAAAAGCGGATGTCCGGCGCTTTGACCGAGTTGGTGGATATGGAGAGTCCACCTAGGAGAGTTAGTAAACCCTGATTTCAAACCAATGGTACACATGGACTCCAGTGTCCTGAGGAAACAAATGGCATATGAACGAATCGTTAGTCACCGGCTACCATGGGAGTGTATCTCCTAACGTTGCTCCACTGCTTTGTGGATCAGATCTTTAGGTCGAAAGCTCGGGGTGTGGCCCCCTAAAAAACCACCTGCTTCGGTTTGGGCAACCGGGCAGTATTGAAGCCCTCACACAAACCGAATGAGATTTGTGTGGCGCATATATATCTGGTGCCCCCTTATACCAATATCCATTTGTTCAAATAAATAAATAAATAAGAAATAAATAATCAAATAAACGTGAAACATCAATCTCATTTGAGTCGTTTGAAAATATCACAAGTGGATGTAATTGTGAATATTTGATTATAATACAAAGAATAGCTAGACAATACGCAACACAAATCAATCATATGATTAATCACATTATAACCTATAAACTGCAATTTAAAATAACATATATTGAAATTATCTTCTAACCTCTTTGTTGTGGACGTAAAAAACGCTGAATAAATGGGTAAAAATTAAGAAGAACTAATTTATTTAATCCAATCAATCTGCTTATCAGATCGAGAATTAAGAGACGAATTTCAAAGCGATCTGAGCATCGTTCCAATTTTCGAAAAAGTTTTTCAGCAAATGTTTGTGGATCATGTAGCATATTTAAAGCATGGAAATTAGTCAATTCTGTACGCTTTTTGATTTTACGTTCTTTTTCCTTATTTACATGTTTTATTGCCCGTTCAAGACGTTTTTGTCGATTTTTTGTTTTAACACCAACCCGATGTCCCAAGCGTAATTGTTTTATTTTGCTTTCTTCATCCTGTGATAACAAGAGAGAGTAAAGATATAAGCTATATAGTTTAAATAAATCGTAATTGTCACGGTCAATCATCCAGTCACTTATTATTATTAAGATTTATGACCACATAGTTCCTTCATACAAATATACTACTTTCCTACACAGAAAGACCCATCACCCACACTTACGACAATATCTTTTCTGTTGAATATTTTTCTTTTGACACACCTTTTTAAGAACTCCCATTTTATTTAGATTAACGAAAGTATATCGATATTTCGTTTTTTCCCATATTACTAGTAAATTTATTAGACTATGTGCAACTGATTAGAAGCTTTGAAATAAACGATGGATCCATTCTATGCGTCGAATCTGTTTTCCTTTAATAAATTAAATGAGAATATGTTCAGGACGAAGTTATTTAACGCTACCGGTGCAGGTCACATTCCTTTTGGAAATTCCGTACGAAACTGCTAGACAAATATTTCGTGTAAGGGTTACCGATATTAACTAAGAAATAAATGGTGTGAATAAACAGTCGGAGAGGGACAGCTTTGATCAACAATTCAGTCTAGTTTCCATCCCTGACATCCTATTACAGATTATCTTAATAATAATATATTGGGCAGCAAAACCTACCTCTATAAAACCTTAAGTAAATGAATAACGTTGTAAATAAACCAAAAACAATGGACTGGAAGTCGTTCGAATTAAGAACAACACGACTTACATCCGATTCAGAGTCACTGCTGGTTTCCATTTCATCAAGGGCCTTTGACTTTCCCAAGAAAAATTGAATAGCAGGAACATAAACCTGTAGAAATGATTTCAGAAAGCAAAAACCTACTTTCTTGTTGCATATGAGACACGAATCCGCAATGACGTTGGCAGTCCGCGCATCATTCCACACATTTTTCTTGAACAAGCATAGTAAGATTAGGACAGCTTCACGAGCAACAGTTGAACTGTTATCTTTGATCATCTTTGAAAGAAACGACAGTATGACCTGAACAGTATGTCAGAAGAGTAGCCAAACTTACGGCATTAGCTTTTGTTTGCTTCTGACATTTATTCATTCGTTTCATGTCACTTACGAGGAAGTGACGTAATGTTTTTCGAACCTGTTTATCTCGACATCTATACAGCTTAAATGCGATATCAACTGCTTGTGTGGCTGGAATCAAGTTTTTAGTTCGAAGTCTCATGAATGCTCTTAAAAAAGCCTGAGGACTGTTACATTTTGACTTGAAATTTACCATACGCATTTCAGGGTGCATACCAAATGAACGCGACAACAGTGTTTGAATAACACTGGTAGTAAACTCTGCAACATGCTCAGGATAATACCTTACAGCCTTTGTGAGTTTAAAAAGACTCGAAATGAGCTACCTGAGATAAGAATGACAAAAGTTCCTCTAGTCTACTTATATATTGAGAAGGAGCAGAAGAAAATGACTGCTTTAGCGTGCTAAAGTTTTCGAGTTGTTCCTCAAACTGAAAAAAATTATGTGGTTTTTTGTCTTACGTCTGTTCTGTATGATAGCGGATCCCGCGTAAGATGATAATTCAACTCTGACAACGGCATGTGCTGCATCGCGACCAGGAGTTACGTATAGTCCGAAAGTACCGCTAGCTCAATCCAATTTCAATAGCAAAGATAGGGTATCTATCTACCTAAACCAATCCATACAATTTGTAGTATCATGAAGATCCAGACTCACTTTGAACGTATCGACAGAAAGTGCTGGTGTTATTTGTCCTGGTAAATAATTCCAGTAACTCCCTATTACGTGCGAGAAACGGACTCAAAATGTAAACAATTCAGTCCCAAACTTAAACCTCCCTATAGTGTACTCTCACATGATCAATAGTGCAATCAAGTACAAGATAAGATACACAGATTCCGACATAATCGTCCAGTATAAGTTACATTCATTCAACTGGTGGATTTTGGATATAACAGTTAATAAGTACCCAAAAAAATAGTTCGAAAGTGATACTAACTTCATTAGTCTTACTGGACACACCCTAACTGAAGGAGCTCTGCCGTGCATCCGCGCCAAATCACGAGTGAGTAGAACGTGCTACATATCCCCTGCAACTTCTAGACAACTTGGACCAAACGTTTCTTGGCGTACCGATAGACTTCTAAATATATCTTCGTACTATACCATTTGACTGGGTCGGTACTCTTCCGTTATAATCATGTTACGTGTGAAGGCGTTGTCAAACTTCAAATACATGTAGCATCTTTAGTGGTAAGACCAGCGTGATCTGGTGCGCGAAACGGTAAACTGTGAGTCTACTTGTTGTAACAGTATATGTAATTTTCTAAATTTTACTTTAACATGTGATATCTTTTACATATTTTCAGATGCGTTTACCCGCCCCTTTGTATAACTTATCTTCATTACTACGCAACAGACATTTAAGATGTTTAATATTAAGGCTCTTTCGCCTCCCACCTATCAAGTAAGGACATTCTGATCCTACAATATAGAAACCTGATCCTTCTACTCACAAGATGACTTCCACAACCACGGCGTGATGGACCCATGTGTACAATTCCTCGAAGATACTGCGTCGTGGTTTTAACAGATGCGTCACACCTAGCACTTTTAATGGTGATGTTTCTGAGCCTTAAGACACATTACAAGGGCCATCCTTAAACACGGAGACCTAATCGACTAACAAGATTGAACCAACTCTTCCACAAAACCGGGTTGCAGTACGTCCGGCAACAGAAATGTTGATTAGTCAACGGACCTTTGGCGATAGACCGTTTAGACAGCGTTTCCTATCTGAGCTTCACCAACAGGTTAAAGTAGTGTTTGCTTCATTTAAAAACGACACAGTGGACGAACTGTCTGTGGCTGCCAGCCGAATTCTGGAGATCACCAGCATTTCAAAAGCCAAGGTCTATTCATTCAAAGAAAAACCTCAAACAACACCAAATGACGTTACAGAACTCTGTCATACTCTGGTACGTTATCTTAGTATTCGTCACCTCAGTAGACGCTCCCAAACTGCTCGAAGGCGTTCTTCATGAAAACGATCTGTCTCTAGATCACGAGAGATAGACAACCCTGATTGGTGCTGATATCATAATCAGCATGGAAAATCTCAAAATTGTGGAAAACTCTGCAGTTTCTCGTGCCTTGAAACGACCGACATGAAAACCCGTTCTGGAAACTTCCCGGCCGACACGCATTAACGGCAACTATAGCTGGTGAACATATCTGTCTGTTGCACATCAGTGATGTGATGACATGCGGTAAGCAATGTTTGTACCATATCGTGAGTTCACGCAAACCCATTCACTGGATCTTCGTGGTTGCTGATGTTTCTACGCCCATCGTTGGTATAGATCTGCTGATAAATCATAATTTACACATCAACACTCTCCAACTGCAGCCAGTAGATGCAAATACTAAATTATCTATTTGTGTAACTATCTTTGCGGTTGCAGATAATCCCTAGTCACCGTTAAGCACACAATCGAACTTGAACTGTACCAAATGTTACCGAAAATGCCGTGTGTGACCAATAATGTTACACATCAAACCACGACTACAGGACCACCTGTATTTCCAAAAGCTCATTCATTAGCTCCCTTAAAGCTAAGGTTGGCAAAAGGCAAATTCGAGTGTGCGATAGACTTAACAATTTGCCAGCTGTCGAACAGCCTGTGTGCATTTCCCTTGCAAATGGTTCTTTAAAAAGGCAACGATAATCGGCGCCCAACCGGTGACTGTTGACGACCGAATATGAAAACCACACCCGATCGTTGCCTCTTCCTACGCATTCACGATTTGACAGCTACCTTCAAAGATTCAACCGTCCCTCCGAAAATCTATCTAGTTGAAACATACAAACAAATTTCGCGGCTACAGACGGTATTCTTAAGACAGCTGTCATCACTTTCTTCGGACTCTAGTAGCTTTTGTGCATATCTCTCGGTTTAAGGAATGCCGTACCAACTTTTCAACGATTCATCAATGACGTCTTCAGCAGAATCAACTCCGTACACGTATATATAGATGACGTCCAGACACAGAATCTGATCTCCAAAATCTGAAACAAGTTTTCGAACGACTACAAAAGCACGACATTATTGAAGGTACACAGAAATGTCAGACGAACCGATTCCCTAGATATTTTAGTTCACACACACGGACATGCGTTTCCTGAAAAGCAAGGCGCGATCACTCTGGTCTTCCTAGAATGGACAACTGTCAGTCAATTTTGCAGTTTCGACGGCCTGGTAAGTTCGAAGTTGTATTGATTCCTAACGATACGACTCTCAAATCTGAACATAAGATAACCCATAAAATTTACATTTAACGTTGACTACGTGCTAAAGGTTGGCAGTAGTGAGTGTGTGAACAAAAGTTTGGGATTATATGGCTCAGCCATGCAAGAATGGTCACCCCATTTAACCTCTAGAATTTTGTATTGAACGTAATACCCTCTTCTAGCACAAATGTGTTCTTCAGAAATGCCGAACGTCATATTTCCGACCGTCACGGTAGGAAGAGTCAGTGCGAACTATGATGCGACTTCCAAATAAGATCTTACATATTGAGCAGTAGTATCATAACAAATCTACAATTTCGGGATTAGGTCTATCATTATAATAGCAAAGATAAATGTACTAATGCTGAGGGAGAACATAATTGGTACATACCGAATTGCAAAATCCTCATGAGCCTAGTAACAGACTAACATCTCGAAAATGTGAAATTCATCAACTTGAACGAAAACGCGAAATAAGCATTCTCAACAGTTGAAAAAGTTATCACAAAATAAACCATACTCGCACAAAAGGATATTAACGCACCCATTAATATCTCAATAAACGCATCGTACTTGGTAATGGGAAGGGTCTCTCAACAATAAGTAAACAACGCCTAGTAACTTTTTGGGTCCCCCTGGAGACAGTTGCAAGACATTGAATCGAGGTACAACACTTTATATAGGGAACTCCCAGACATGTATTGTGCTGTACGACACTTTCACTACCCAGTGGAAAGATGAGAATTCACTTGGTTTACTGACCATGGGTCTCCTACGTTCTCTTTAAGCTCATCTTCAGACAAGTACTTCCCTCGAGAGTCTCAGCAACTAGAGTACATTTCTCAGTTTATTCAGATATAAAACACACTTCTAAGGCAAACAATGTAGTAGCAGATGCCTTGTTTTGTATAACTCCCTTGAACAGTTTCCAGAGGATCAACCTTCTTGGACTCCCTCAGCTCCAAAAAGAAGACACAAATCTTCATCACAAGTTATCTTCGACAACAATTAAACTACGGATCAAGCAAGTGGGAACGGATAAGGAAACCTTACTATATTTACTAACTTTACATTTACACTGTAGGACCGTCCAATAGTGCCGACACATTACCGACACAACGTCTGCAATACTTTGCACAAACGTTCTCATCCAGATGTTTGTGAAGCCATTAAGCTCACAGCTGAACATTTTTGTTGTCCTGGTATGAGTTGAGACACGAGGGAGTGGGTGTGCTCTCATGTAAACCTCCAAAAATTCAGGGTTATTACACATAAAAAATGTCCCTTGAGTTCTTTCAAAACTCTGGATCATTTTCTTCTTCATTTGCTAGGAAACTTACCGAGTTCAAAAAGATATTCTAAAATTGTGTAGACCGTTATATACGATGGCCAAGAGCAGTACACATCAAAAACATTACTTCTGAAACAGTTACTCAGGTCTTCGTCGAACGATGGGTATCGAACTTTGGCCACCCCTCAACCGTCATTACAGACTGTGGACGTCAACTTAAATCTGGAAAACATTAAATGTTTACTACATTCGTCATTTTTATACACAATAACCGAAAACAAATGAATCAAGCGACAACTAGAATACGAATGTTGATGAACATATGTAAAATTACATGGATCCTCTAGTGTTTAAAGCAGTAACAAATTACCAAAGTGTAATAGAGCTGTGTTTTCGGAACGATATCAGAATTAGAACTCTTTACTACCGCACTGAATTAACATTAACACTGGTACCATAAATCACAAGCAGTTTTATTAGAATGGGAGTAATACTGTAAACACAATATCTAGCAATCGTATTGTGTGGAATATATCTGTGACTGCTTTGGACGACTGGATTAATCTGCATTGTGTCGAAACGAATCGAAACTGTTCGAAATGTAAATTAGTAAGTGTGTATCAAGTAATAATCGTTCAATACAATAATGGAACATAAACAACAGATGGATGACTAAATAGACAGACAATCAATGAAAGGAACATGGGAAAGATTCATGTACGAGGCACTCGAATGAGTCAAACAACTGAATGTAAATAAATCGATATTAACCGAACTAATCAACTTGAGAAGTCACAAATGTAGTCAAATATTATATGCCAGACGTCCATACAAACCTCCATAGATAACCACGAAGACTAATGAGAAAATGTTTATAACTGATATCAAATAAATCAAGGGTGTGATCCAGTTTTATTCGTCTATTGCCAACCAGCTCTAACGCCTTGACAAAAGAAATGGCCTTAATCTTACAAATAATCATTATTAGAAAGAATATCAGATCTTCGCCAGATAATCATGGGTCAACCGATTTGAAAACCACCGACCTTTACAA